AGTTTAAAGGGAAGTGTTACAGCAGTCGGGTTGAAGTGGAAATTGCTGTTCTGCACATGGGCAAAAATTTTAGTTCTACAGATGGCTGCCTGTGCACATCCCCAAACTGAGAGAAAGAGAAAAACCAACACCGATGCACGCTCCTGTGTGTGGACGGCAGGGACGCGATGTGGCTGCGCAGCGATCCGGAGCAAGGAGGTAAGTGTGATCGCGATTCTCCAGGTTAAAAAAAAATGCATCAGGACCAGAGCAATTTAAACCGCTCCCAGCACGCCATCTGACCGCACGCTAAGTATATCAGTTTCCCATGATCCACTTGGTTTTGTTCATTCTGTGCTATGGTCTGCGGCTCTTGCCCACTTGCCCAGGATCTTCCTTTATTCAGAGCGCTCATACAGATAGTCTTCTCAGGAACACTTATTAGTTGTGCTTGATCACTATCTAGTCTATTATAGGTTAAGAAGAAGAAGAGATTGGATTTATACCATGCCCTTCACAACGTGAAGGAGTTTCAGAGCGGCTTACAAACGCCTATCCCTTCCCCTCCCCACAACAGACACCCTGTGAGATAGGTGGGGCTGAGAGAGCTCTTTTGAGGACTGCTCATGAGAGAACAGCTCTAAATAACTGTAACTGACTCAAGGTCACACCAGCAGCTGCATGTGGAGGAGTGGGGAATCCAACCCAGTTCTCCCAGATGAGAGTCCACGCTCCTAACCGCTACACCAAACTGGCTTTTGGTAATGATGTTTTCATTGTTAAATAAATGTTTTTATAGTTAAATTAAATATTCTGTAGTTGTGTTTTTATTGTTAAATTTGCTGTATAATTATGTTCAGTAACCAATGCTCCCTCTAAGCTGTGGAGTCTACTTTGTGAGCTCCTGGCATTAAAGTGGCGAGCCAGCAATTTGGCTACTGCATCAATTAGTTTTCTCTGAAGCCATCTGAGCTAAGAGAAAAATGCGTGAGCCGGAGGCTAAAAAACTGTGAGCTAGCTTACACTCACTCAGCTTAGAGGGAACACTGTCAGGAACTGTTGTGTACTGAGCCTAACCTTGTCAGACCCAGCTTGGAGTCGCAGAACAATAGCCTGCTAGGATCCTGGGATAAACCTATCGCCCAGGAGTGCCTCTGTAAATAACCTATCATGGGGAGTGGGCAGTGTTCCCTCTAAGCTGAGTTAGTGTAAGCTAGCTCACAGTTCTTTAGCCTCCGGCTCACACCTTTTTGTTTTTGCTCAGGAATGATGGCTCCAGAGCAAACTGATTTATGCCGTAGCCAAATCACTTGCTCACAGCTTTAATGCCAGTAGCTCACAAAGTAGAGTTTTTGCTCACAAGACTCCACAGCTTAGAGGGAGCATTGGTAGTGGGTATGTGTGGGGTGGGGTGTTGGGTGCAAATTTAAGCAGGGCTCCAGTCCTGCCAGTTTGTCTTTAGTTTGAGCTGTTATCACAATAAAGCATGAGCTGATCACTAACGCATGTCGAACCCAGTACATTTCGGGAACTATGTTTTAATTGTTTAAACCGTTGCGTAATTATTGCTGTAACCCGCCCTGAGCTCTGCTGTGTGGGGGAGGGAGGGCCAGAAATTCAACAGAGTACAATAAATAATAAATTACATGGATAGGCACAAGGCTAAATGAAAAGATGCTCACCCTGCCCCACGAAGTGGACGGGACAAAGATGATTAAGTAGATGGCTTTTATCATCTTGTCGAGAGAGTGGTCCTCGTCGCTAAAGCGGTGACCGAACACGGCGGCGCAGATGACGTTGGCGACAGCATGGATCATGTCTGGCTTAGGCTCAAAAGCTGACCCTGGGGATACAAGAGAAAGGGACCGATCTTGACCTGGAGATTTATCAGTCGGAGGGTTATTATTATTATTTTTTTTGCAAAGAATACGTGGGAAAAAAGGAATAAAGGAAAGCAGCATGGAGCACAAGGTTATCCGTAGAATCCAATGTCACAAAGACTTACTTTTCTTCTGAATTTGTATGAAGAGTTAAACTTTTTTTTAAGTACCCATAGGTACACTTTTATTAATTTTTTATAATCTACAACAAACAAATCTACACACTACAAACAGACACTCTACTACACATAACGTATATACCAAGAGTGCAGTTACATTATATGCTTATATGCAATTACTTAGTTAATAAAAACGCTATATCAAACACTTTCCATTCTTCTGTCTTCTGTGTTCTCAAGTCCATTGCGCTATCATTGCCTAATCTTCTATTACATTTGCATTATACCAATCATAAAACTTTCCCCATGTTTTTTGAAATGTCCACTCTTTGCTTAATCTCATTTCTAGAGTCAGTTTATCATTTTCTGCTGTTTCAAAAAGTTTATTCACAAACTCCTGTTTCGTTGGTATCACCATAGTTTCCCAATATTTGGCATATAAGATTCTTGCAGCTGTCATCATATAAACAGTCAAATACCTATTCTCTTTTTCATAATCCTAACTCTTCTTCTATGAAGAGTTAAACTTTTGTGTGTGACTATCCTCTGTGTTAATAGACTATACACAAGAAAGAAGACCCGCGAAACTCGTGCGGGGGGGAACTCAAAACTCAGCGGGCGGAGGAGGAACCAGCAGGAGCAGGTAAGCTTCCCCCCCATCCCACCGGTTCCTCCCCCGTCTCCTCC